AGGACATCGACCCAAGGAGACTTTCATAATTCTTCTCTATACCATAAGCCTCCGACACCATTCTCATCACCATTTGATCTAACTCAGCCACAATCTTCGAGTACGAGAATGCAGTTTCACTGTTCAAAAATGAAACAACGAGTATTATAGTTTTACGCAACAAATGCAAATCGAAACAACAATGAAGAATCAAATAATTTCGTATACCTGAAACTATGATTTCCGTTGGGCCACAATAGATTGGTGAACTTTTCAACTCCATCAAGAGTAGTGGCATTTTCAATGCCTAAACCTTCATAGAGAGGAATAATAGGCTCTTGTCCAACATAGCCGTGTGAAGGTGTATTAGAAGTGTTTAGGACTTTGATTTCGGTTGGGAGATCAAACAACTCCTCAGATGCACGGAAAATAGCTTCATTAAGTTCCAAAGTGACTTCATCATAAAGGGCTATAAAACAGCCATAGTCTTCCAGCGCACGTACAACAGCTTGCCTTGTAGATGGCCAAAAACTAGAACTTGGATCTAAGTTTTTCTTAGTGAAGTCTATGACAGGAAGGTAGTTCTGTGTTAGAGAACACATGAAAAGGATCGTTATCCTGTAGCTTGCTTTGCTTGGATTATTGAAGTTTAAGATTGACAAGTGAAAGAGAATCTACAGTTTATGATAATTGCTAAGAACTATTCTGCTCAGGCATTTACAGGATCTTTTAAGGCCAAAGGGTACCTTGATCTTGGTTTATTGAAGTAGTTAGTAATGGTCATCTATCATATCCTTTAGGTGGCAATTAAAAAAAAAAAAAAGTCGTCATGTTGTGGGGAAAGTTTTATCTTAAATTGCTTGAAAAGAACAAGTTTCGCCTAAACCTGCCTATTCTTTTTGATTGATTCTGATGTAGGGTTTTAAATTCTTTTGTTGTTCATCAATAAGTGGTCCCATAATATGGCGAATCAATTATTAGCGTTAGGTAGAGTGTCTTTCCTAACAAAAACTCCAAATTGCCTTTCTCGTAGTAGTAACTATGAAGCAAGAAGGGGAACTTCTTTCAGGACGAAGTGAGTCACAAATCGTTTAATCCTCCCTTCTTTGCCTTCATAATTGTATTAAATGCTTTCTTCTTTGAATAGAAACTTCATTTGTAAACATTTCCAGACACAAAAACTTTCTTTTTTTTTTTTTTCAATGAACAAAAGTTTGACAGTTTAACTAGAGGGAAAAAAAAGAAAAAATTTCCTATATAATTTACCATGCAAGCGCGGGCACACTCATATTTAAAATTCCCCAACATTCAATCACTTTAACTCATCAATTTGATGTAAGTACTCTTTTAGGAATATCTTTTTATAAAAATTTGTGCCTTTAAGACACTGGTTAACACACATTTTTTTAAAATGTTATTATGCATTAGATTTATTTTCCGCTTTCATTTTTATATATATTCTCTATTTAACCCTACTATTTAAAAAAAAAAAAAAAAGGTATCACTTGGAGATCCAATTAACTGGCTACCAAACCTTTTCAAGGATTAACACCTCAATCCTCCGTTATTTAATGAGTGCCTTGGGACAAAAGCACCTGTTACAGAAATCCATAAATATCTTGTCTGCTACCAGAGGCTCACTGCCAATTTATGGTAATTATGTGTCTAAATAGATTGTCCATTTGTGTCGATGACTTAAATTTTAGCATGCATTAAAGAAATCATTCAATTTTTTGTCCAATATTCACAAGTTGGATACACGAAACATATCAAATCCGCCCAAAGTTGTCATAATTACGATGAGAAACATAACGAATAGTTGACCATGAAACTAAGGAATGAGGGACTAAAGAAATTGTGCTTGACAAAGAAATATGAAGTCATTGAGAAGGATTCGAACGTGAGAAGGATTCAAAGGGCGAGCCTATGAACTGTGAGCCCCAGTGCTGCCTATCACGAGGTGGGACGTACAGGGTAGCTCCAGTACCCCACCAGATTAGAGTATTAGACATGTTGGAATTTTGATAGGACTTTGATGCTGAGTTTTTAGACTAATAATAAATTCCAAATCATTGCATTTTGTCTTCTGTGGTAACGTCACTCGTAGAAGGTTAAACAGATGATTTGTATGAATATTCGGAGGGATGATGATTACAGAAATGGGGCACATATGGTTGTTCTATTCACGGTTCAAAAGTTTTTACTTAGGCAAAAATTCAAAATGTGCCATCCAAATAATGTCACATCACTCTAATGTAATTAATATGTTTTAAGTCATATATATCTTGTTGACAAAAAATTAAACCAAACTATTTAGACTTTTAATAGTTTTAGAAGTTGATTTGTTATTTGATAACTAGATTAGAATTTGTGTCAAAACTGGTTTAGGAAATATAATAGACTTGTGTTTAGATATTAGTATTGAAATAAATATTATGGTTTTATGTGTTTATTTAAAGACTTGAGTCCGACTTTTGTTATTAAGAGACTTGTGATTTTTGAGTTATAAAATTATTTCCTCTCCAGCATAATACTTTGCCTTCCTCTACCCAAAGGGCGATTAGACAATTGAGAGCATGAAACTTTGTTGTTATCTTTTTACTTTTCCAACTTATTGTTTCCGGCACTTGTGCTTCTGACTAGTAGGTTTGTGGACATTTGCTCCTTCATTTTATGTCTTGGAAAGTACTTCATCCTTTTTTGATTTATTGATTGGTTTGTGAGATTCCAATGTTACTTCCGCTATGCGATTTTTTGTGTTAACATATCGAATACTGTAGCTCTCATAAAAAAATTGTAAAAATAAATTACAATAATATACAATATGTTCAAAAGGTGTTATAGTGTTTAAAATCTATTAAAGGAGATATTATAGTACAATTGTTCCTGCCCCTTTACTAATGTTTATAGCTAAACTACTTATGATGCCTTCTGTCTTTTTGGTTTACTTGTACAATCTTATATTGATGATTATCATGACTAACTATACTTGGATGATCTTCGTAACAACTTATGATGCTATTGTGAGTTTGCAGACAATGCTCCATATAGATCTTCTGTTGACGGTCTATAGTTGGATGATGAACAGTTTCTATTGGACATCCACTAAAGAAATGCTTTGTTATGTACTATTGATTGCTAAGACATTGAATTGCCACAAATTGTCAAGCAAAATGCCAAAAACTAGAGAGAAATAATCATCCATTGTGACCTATATTGCCTGTCAGTTGAATAAATGAATATTTCAATTTGATTATGGTGCAAACCTAGATGGATTAACATCTCTATTCAAGTCTAAGAGGAAAGAAGAATGGGCTGTGGCAATAGCAACTCTGGCAAGGGGTGTGACCCTTGTTATAATTAAATCAATTAAAAAGTTATGCAATTTTCTTGTGCCTCTATAACAAAAAAAATTTAAATTTTTAGTTAATATTGGAAACTATAAACTAGATTAGAACTTTCTTTTTTATTATCCTACATGACAATCAGGATAACTAGATGGCAACAATAATATCATTATGGAAATAAAATTTGAAAGTAAATCATATTGGAAATATTTTTTTTAGCAAGATTTTTATTTTGGCAAAAAACTCACTCCTACTCTAAGTATGTAATATATAGATTGATTTCCTTAGACTGCTGTCTGAAATTTCTACTTTATAGATGGGAAAACATTTTGATGTTATTACGCAGTGCCGTTTGACCTGGTAGACAGATCCTATAAAAGAAAGCTGCTGGAGAACCCGTAGTAATTAAATTAGTAGTAAATCACGCACACCTTAGAAAGTGGAAAGTAATCCAGCACGCTAATCATGCATATGGTGTCAATTGCTGCTAATCATTAGATGTTTTTGCCTTTTTCTTCTGCAATTTTCTGGTTTTATACTTAAAAGAATGTGAGATATGAGCTGCACGTGATTTTTTTATATAAGAACAGTAGGAGAAATGAGTAGAGGGACTAAAACGGTGCTTTTTTCATATATAAGATGAAAAATGATCATTTCATCTATAAGTGACCTTAAAAAAATACAAAACTAACATGTGAGAGACAAAAAAAACATCATTTCATATGTTAGATGAGTTGCTCCTGATTTGTCAAAAAAGAAAACATTAGTTGACGGTGGATTCTGCTTTTATTCCTTAAACGTCAAAGCTATTGGATGTTATTAATGAACCCATTTATTATATTATTATTATTATTATTTGATCAATATAATTATTATTATTTTTAGGGTGATGTTATTTACAATCTAAATATGTTATTTGCACTCTCACTATTCCATTTTCAATTTGATGAGACCGTATAACCCCTACCCTAATTTCTTTTCTTGTCTATGAGAAATTTAGGGGTAATATGATCTCATCAAAATGAAAATAGAATAGTGGGAGTGCAAATAACAATACGTTATTTTTAAAGTATATATTACCTCATGTATAAAAATACAGCTAATTAATCACATTATTCAAAATTGCAAACTTAAAATTACTAGTACTTAACCAATAACCAAAATGACTGTTGGCCACCACCATAGTCTTTAAGAGTTGGTGGATTGGGAGATTAAGAGTTTAAACATTGTCTTCCACCACTTGTCACCTTATGTAGCTTACTACTTTAAGTGGTTTAAATCCATACGAGTGCACGCACCCGTGTGGGCCGATAATAGTTGTCGGTTCTCCAATAATAGTGTGATGATAGCTTAATTCCCATCGGTTCTCCAACAAATTAAATCCACATGTGTGCACGCACCCGTCATGTCGTTCGATAATGGTTTAGTTTCTGTCGGTTCTTCAATAGGCCCAGTTGAACCCTCTTATAGGGTAGACAAGTCACTGAGTGACAAAAAAAAAAAAAAAAAAGCTTCTGGTACTTGCTTCTACTGGGAAGTGAACTGATAAACAAACTAAAGAAATACTGTAGAAGATTATATGTTCCTTGGACAATTTAATAGTAATACGCGAAGTCGATGAGAACCCAAGGCAAATATTAGCATGTCTCGATGTTGTAACTAGCCAAACATTGACAGTAATATGATACTCTAATATCTTTCCAAAGCACAAGAAAACATGAACACTAATTACCAGTACATGATAAGATGAAGATTTTGGCTTATACCCGCAAGCACAAGATTATGCAAACGAAATTAAACAAACGATTACATTAACGGATACTCCCATACATTTAGCATAAAATTATGCAAAAGATATTTCCTCAAAGACTGTGGGAGACAACCCTTCCCTTCCACAATGAAAGACAGACACCACAATACGAGAGTTATAGTAGTAAAAAATAAATGAGCAAGTAATCGTTAACCACCAACAGGCAACGGGCAACAGGCAACAACAAATCGATTTAGGTTGACGTTGACACGGTAAAGGTTTCGGCATCACTTGAAACGGTGGGCACACTCTGAAACACTTTGCCAATTCTCTCAATCGGCACCACGGGCAGGTTCTGCCACACCGTGTAGCCGTAACCCCTCTGCGCCGCCCTGTAAGCCACGGTTTCATTGTATTTCTTGCACCAATAAGCAGCCGTGGGGACAATCATTTGAGCCACTTGAGGGAACAGGGGGAGCTGGTTCAGCGAGCGCCAAGCCGACACCGCATACTGCTCAGCTAGGGGCTCGTACTTGAGATAAAATTCCTTGGCTGTAGGCTCGTACGTGTTATAAAGCGTTTGGGCGATGCTTTTAGAGCCGTCCACCAAGCCGGCCCGCTGCAACTCGGAGGCCACCCCTCTAGCCACCTCAGGGGCCTTCTGAGGCGCCGAGAGCAGCTGATGTGAGAATTGCTTCAGCACCGGGGGTACATGACGGTCTAACTCGTTAATCGATTCGTCGACCTGCAAATCACGAGAGTCAAGGGTGAGCTGATGATCACGTGAATTATTAGATGGCTACGGGGGGAATGAATGAAGGATTCAGGAAAAGGAAAGCCGTCGCGATTCATGTAACTACTGACTTTTGAGGAAGAAGATAACCAAACAAGAAAAAAGAAAAACCTTGCGATCTGCGAACTGGAGAAGCTCCAAGGAGATGTCGCAGAACTTGCGGTAGACAGGTCCAATGGCTGTTCTGACAGTTGCTTCCACAATTTTAACGCCCGGAGCTTTCTTTCGCATAGTTGTAGAGTGATGAGAAGGAAACGATCATGTAGATTGCTCCTACTTGGACGAAATCAAGATACTTGAGCTCCTTTTTCTCGCCTCGTCCCTCAACCTTAACGAATTCGATTCACAGAATTAGCATGTCAAGGATTTGGATATGATTTGCAGGGGAAAGAAGTTTAAAATAAATAAATAAAAGGACATGCATATGGCCAATAGCTTGCCTAGTTTGTGAGTTTAGGAAAGAAAAGAAAAGGACTGAAGCCTTAAGCTAGAAAAGAAAAGATTGGAATATCTTTCCACATGTTATTTGGGAGTTTTGGGGGAGAAAGGGAATGAAGTAATTTTACTTTGTTTGGAAGTGGAGAAAAGTGAAAAGAAAAGATTTTGTTTTACATAGAGGCCCTTAAATCTTAAATTTACATGAGCATGAGTATTCGACTAGGTTGTTTTGTTAAATTTTGTATATTATTCATTCAATAATTAATAGATCTTAAAAAAAACCAAAATATGATTTTTGTGAAGGAAAAATAGTAATATAATAAAAAGTGGAATAAAGAATGACACATGAAATAGATCCGTTATGATTATATTATAATCTTTTTAAAGATAAAAGTAGTATATGTAATAATTCACTTAATTAACCAACTCTACTTTCTCACATTTCTAGCCCGATTTTAGGCAGAAAGTTTTTCTAACTTGGAAGGGACCAGACGTCCTTCCTTTTCTGTTCAATTCTTTCCTATCCATAGTTTCAAACTTGAGAAAAATTCAACTTTTTTCATTAATCTTTTCCTTTCTCACAAAATCTGCTCTCTATGGTGACAACTGACAAGACATCCACGCACATAGCAAGGGAAAGAAAAAAGATTAGATGTATTCTTTTGCAATTTTCACGAAATCTTGACAAGCCTATACGGTGCCAATAAGCTAGAAAGAGTTTACCAGCACAGAGAAAATTATATCAAGAAGGTGGCTAGAAGATGAAGGAAGGAGGTCGAGTGGTCATGCTCACCGGCGCCGTCGGCTGTTTGACTTCATCCGATTCCGCCATAATCTCCCTTTGAAGAAATTGAGAATGATAATTAGAGAGAAGAAGAGGAACACACGAGAGACAAGTTACCCACTAGTAATATGCAAAGTGCAATTGCTAAAAGTCAAATAAATACAGTGAATTCGATACGATGTGCCTTATGTTGTATGTGAACGGAATCAAATGTTAGTAACCACCGCCCCTTTTATGACGGTGGTGGTTCCCAACATTGTCCATGTGACCGCCGAGCGGTGAGCACTAAGAAATCTATAAAAATGGAGACAGGTGAAATAAATAAACTGGATTCGATACAATGTGCCATATTTTTTTTTTAATTGAGGGTAATGTGCCTCACGTTTTATGTGACTGGAATCAAATGTTAGTTATTATCCCAAAAAAAAAAAAAGGAACCAAATGTTAAGCACTTAAATTTAATGGATTTAGATTTTAACATATTCAAACCGTTTGATAATAAAAAATTGAATATTTGAATTAATTAAGTCGCATTGAATTTCGTACACAAAATTTGCTTCCAAAATTAAGTGATAAACTATTCACTTATCACTAATTGTGATATGCATTCAAATATATTAAATTTAATATTTAATAATTCAATAAATTAATGGATTTAGATTTCAGCTTTCAAATTTCAAACATCAATTTTATCAAACGCACCTAATAACCATTGGCCCCTTTTATTATTGTGGCTCCCAATATTGTCCACGCGACAGCTGAGCAGTAAGAAATCTATAAAAATGGCTTAGGTTAGGCTCTGCATTTTTGTTCCTCGCGTGAGCAACAAAAAATTGTTGTTTCCTTTTTCTTCTTTTTTTGGGAATTAATTATATCGATCATTGCTATTTTTTGGAATTTTTATAAAAAATATACTGTAATAATTTAATACATGTAATATAAAAATATGACTGATAAATATATTCATGAAAAATATAAAAAAAATTTTAAAGAAAAAGGGCAATACAAACAAGTTCCGCTCACCTTTTTTTCACAAAATTACTCTCTTTTGACCAAAAAGTATTAAAAATTGAAATATAACTCACCCAATACTTACACATGAGAAATTTTATCATGGATTAACAACTTGGCAAAATTTAGCAAGCTTTAGTGGTTCCTCTTTATGTATAAATTTCAAAACTTACACAAATTGTTGCTAATAGAATCAGTACGGTAAGTTTCAAGATTTTGTTGGAAAGCATTTTCATTAATCAAAAATTAATTACTGAGTTTGGAAGTAATTAGTCTAGACCCAAAGAAAATTTTTGACTTATGCACCATTCCAAGTTCCAAGTTCCAACACATCACTCGGTTAATTACTTTTGGCACGACTCTCAAAGCCACATTCTAGTAGGTAACACCACAATTAAGTACTCCAAATTCTTAACGGTTTGCAAAATAACACTTTTTTCTTCCCCTTAGTGCCTGGTGTACTAATTTACTACTCCCCGGGGCAAAAAGAAGAAGGCTTACAGGCACTGGTAGACACTGCTAGTTTTCCACGCGCGGATTTGTAGAAGTTCCGTTAAGCGTTGGGTGGGCGGCAAAGTATGGGCGGATGCGAACCTTGCCGGCACGCTTCACTATGATGGCGGTTTCCTCCAATCTCATCTAAAACAGTTTTGAACTTCTTTGAATCTCTCATGCGCAGCCCCCGCTTCCTCTTTGGGCTTTTCTTTATCTCGGCGGGATGCTAAAGTTAAAAGGGGGGAAAAGGAAATGCCGTCTAATAACGCCCATTTAGAGTTGCATGGTTTATTGATAAGTAGTAGAGCTTTTACTAAAAGCACTTGTTAAGTGATTAAGTACTTTCAAATATATTATGTGGATACATTGTATTGGATAATATACAATTTAAAATTTTTTAAATATATTTATTTAGTTTATAATACAAGATAAAATGATTAAATTTAATATATTATTTTTTTTAACGCAAAAACTATTCTAAAAGTATCAAATTTGAGTTTTTTGCTAAAAGTGGTTTTAATATACAAAATTTTTGCTACTAATTTTATGAGATGATATTCACCTATTGCCTCAAAAATACTTTTAGTACCAAAAAGTGCTTTTTTACTAGAAATACTGTAACCCCAAACTGAGCTTAAGTCTGATACCAAGTGATAAGTGACTAATTTACGTAATAATTGTATGACATTTTATATTATTTTTAGTCACTTTGGGTATATTATTGGAAGAATATGAATCATTTTGGCTATAATTGGTGAAAAATGCTTTTAAGTGATTAAATGAGGTTTTTATCACTTTTTACTTGGATTTTGTGTATTTTGACAGTTTTGACACATTTTCGTATTTCGGCTATAATTTGAGTTACAATGATCGGATTGGGATGATTCTTGAACCCATTTGAAGATAAGAGATAGATCTACAACTTTGGTGAAGACATCCGAATCCAGTTTGAAGGTTTTCAAAATCAAAAAGCCGAATTACATTAGCTAATTTCTGTTGGTCGAAGCTGAAACAGGGCAATGAGCAGACAAGGGTATTTCAGTCATATCTCCGCCTACACAGATCCAAATGAGGTGATTCTTGATGCATTGGAAAGATAACTCAAAAGGCTACAACTTTCGTGTTTTACACATGAGCTGGTTCAGCCTCTAACATCAAGAAAAGATCGGTTGAAGTTGGGCCAAAAACAGAGCAAGTGATCCACACTCGGATCCACTATTCATCCGAACCCTCGGCTGTTTCTGGGTTAGTGGATCCTAGCTCGGATCCATACGGATCCGAGGCACTGTAGCAGCTCGGATCACTGGTCAGAAAAGGCTGCTTTATACGCGTAAAACTCAATTTCACCTCCACCAACTCACATGTGATGCTAGACATGTGAGAAACATTCCCAGCTGTAAAAGGGAGTTGAAAACATCATTTCTTGACCAACCTTTCATCATTAAATAGCCAAATTCATTGCAAAAGGAAGGAGATGGGAGTCCATAGCAGAAAAATAGAGTGAGCTACGGGAGAAAGCTTGGAGTCTGCAGAAATGTAGCTCTTTCATCTCTCTAGTGTTAGTTTAGCTTAGTATAGAGTAGTGTAGCTTTTCCATTCTTGTTTATTATCTAGATTAGGATGAAGATGGAGGATGAAGAAGGCAAGGAAGAAAGCTCATGTGACAAGGGTTGTATTCCTTCCAAACTCTTTATCTTTTGTATTTGATTCCAAGTTTAGTTAATATACAAGTTCTGGATTTTGTGTTTAATATGTGTATCTAAAGTTTAAGCCTTGGGTTTGGTTGAACTTTCTATGATTGTTAGTGTTTATTATTTGGTTATTTGATTGCTATGATTTGAGCAAGTTATTTAGCACTTTGGCTCTTTAAATCATGATTAATCTGGTACCATTAATTGTGATTATCTAAGGTGTTGTTTCTGCAATGAAAATTGAGATTTAACACTAGTTCAAGAAGTGCTAAACATAGGAAGTACACTCACGAAAGTAGAGGTGCATCTATGTGGTTTTTAGTGATTCATTTCATGTAATTTCATTGAAGAAATGAACTTGTAACTAATTTCATAACCATGAGAATAGGTATGGATTAGTTATAAGTATAATTGATTCACTACGAAAGTAGGATTCAAGTGAATTAGGAAATTACACCATAACTAGCCTAGATGTAGTAATTAATGATCCAAATATAGCACTTGCATGAGTAGTTAGGGATACCATAACCTAAAGAGTTTTCATTTGTCATTTTGTATAATTTCAGTAGGTTAAATTTGTTATAATTTATTGATAGTCTAAATAATAGAGAAGCTTTAGTAATACCGGTAATTGTTCACTCTTTCCTGTGGGATCGACCCGATATATACCCTAAACTACTAGTTGATCTGTATACTTGCAGTGAACGGGTGTAATTCGGTATTTTTTAGCTTGCACGTATGTAAAATACCCGTCAAGTTTTTGGCGCCGTTGCCGGGGAAGATTTGGCAATATCGGTGTGAAGAGTAACTTTATTAGTTTAGACATAATATTAGTTATAATGTGAATGTTATTTTCTGTTATTTTTGTATTTTATGTGTATGTGTTTTATTACCTATTTTTCTTACTAATTTTGCTTTTGAGGTTGTTTAAAAGCAATTTTAGGTAATGAGAATGGTAGGTCAATTTGGAGGACAATGCTTGAGAAGTGGAAGATTGGCAATAGATGGTTACCAAGTGCAAAGCTCCTTCAACAGAGGCAACCAAGAATT